GCGCCTGGGTCATGCAGAGACAATGGACGGGCGAACGGCCGCGACCCGAGGTTGCGATGCCACGCGCACGGAACGAAAAGCTTCCGGCGCTGTCATGAACGGGATGTCATGCGGCATTGTGACAAGGCGAGACATTTAGAGTATGCTGGAGAGAAAGCGGGTGGTAGGGGTGTGGATGCCAAGATCGGTGAATGTTGCGATCATTGTGCTCCGGTGCCCGATCTGCACGTCTGCCCAAATCTCCGCTGTCGCGATGGTGGCAGAACAATGAAGCTTCTCGATCGACTCTGCAATTTGACTCTCATTTCATTGTCCATGAGGACGGGCCTGGTCGGAGTGGTTCATGGGTACGCGGATCGGCCCAACAGCGAGCGTCTGGCTTGATTGGTGGTGGCGCTGAGGCATTCTTGGGTTCGCCGGTGTCAAAGGCTCATTGTGGTGACAGCGGGCGGTGTTGAGCGGAGAAACGTGGTGCTGTGGATGAGCGCAATAAAGCTCAAACGCCATCCCGAAGTGGCAGCGCAAAGTTTCCGTTCCGACGATCGCCCACGGTCGCGATCGAGCCATGCCATTGTCGTGCGGCCCACTTTCGGTGCGAGTTCAAGTCGCATTTGTGGCGCTGTGATGGAGGAGCAAAGGAAGCGAGCGACTCGACGAATCAGAGGCGAGAGAGCACAAGCTGGATGCAGCCACGTCTGTCTGTCTGTCACTTTTTCCGAAGTTCTGGAGCCGGGGCCTCGAGCCGAAGATTTTTCTCGTCGCGAAAAAGCCGAATCACAAATTATTTTTTTGAGCTTTGTTAGAGCGTTTGCTGCATAGGATGAGTGAGCCTTGTCTCCGAAGGTGTGGAGGCGAAAATAAGCTTATTTTCTCGGTCTTCTGCTGTGCTTGACCGGCAGTGGCCGGCAGAGTGGTTCTCTGCAAGGGGCGAGCTGCGTGAGTGTGCAAGTGAGTGCTTCCTTGGGTTGAGCTCTAAAAAAAGTCTCACTCACACTGCGAGAGGAGGCGGCGGCGGCGGCTGGGCCAAGCTCGCATGACCTGGGCATGTTCGCTACCGACGATCATCGACGCCGACGATCACTTGCACTGTCAGCCACCACAAGCGTGCAATTCTATACCTCGCTCGCAGCATCACTCCAGCACCAGCACTTCTCACGGCGAACCAACATGACATCCTACGAGGACGCAGAGGAAGAGCGGGAGCGACTCGCGGCGCTGTGGAAGCCGCAGGATGCAGCCGGCGTCGCAGGTGGACTCAAGGCGCATCGGCACATCTACATCGACTGGCCCAACGCAACGATCAAAAAGACGCTGGCGATCGGAGCGTCTGCGCCGGACGCCTCGCCGCCGATATACGACCGACCGCGCGTGGAGGACGAATCGGACAACGCGGCGTCGTGCGTGCTGGTCACCAAGTCGAGTCCCATCCAAGCCACCGTGCACATTGTCAAGGAACCCAAATCCTCCACCTCGATGGCACAGTCCTCGGAGCCCGGCTTGAGCACCAAGAAGCTCGCCGAGAAGCCCATCCTGGTCAGCGCGAAAACGGGCTCGGTCGGCTCCATCTCGCTCAGCGTGCCCACGTACCACGGCGCGCGCCCGCTCAACATCCGCGCCAAGTCGCTCAACGGCAACATCACCATCTACCTCCCCACCTCGTTCTCCGGCCTGCTCAACTGGACCTCCGAGACCGGAACGCTCAAGGTGTCCAAGACCATGCAGCAGCGCTTCAAGCCGCTCGACAACCCGCCGCACAAGCATCGCGGCACCGCCAAGATCATCCCAAGCACCGCCTCTGGTCTGAGAGGCGACGTGTGCACCGTCACGAACCGCCATGGCAGCATCACCATCAAGGAGTACGACGAGGGCGCCGGCAGCGCAGGTGGGGCAGCAGGCGGCGAGGACAAGTCTTGTGTGATTCAGTAGCCCCGCGCCAACACAGTAAGGATCGCAATTTACGGACAATGATCGACTCTTCCGAGGAACGGCAGCTGTGCGCGACTGTTGAGAGCTTGGTGAGCATGATGCTGATGGCATTGCGACTGACACAAAATGAACAAATTCTAATGAAGCTTGGCGTTGGTCGGAGTGCCTTTGCCCACGCGCTTGCCCGTCTCGGATCGTCCCTCGCGCCGCAGATGCTCCACTTGCGGATGACGCGCCACCTGCGAAGGCATCACTCCGGGCGTCGATGCCGGCCGTGTGATGCCGTCCGGGTTGGACACAGCCACGTCGGGTGTGCCGAGACCCAGATCGATGAGCGTGTGACCGGCAGCGGCAGCAGATGCGCCCTCCACGCCAAAGAAGCGTCCTTTCGACGTTTGCGTCGATGCCAGGTCTTCGAGCGCGATACTCGATGCTACGGTGGTGGGGAGGAGGCTGGCTGCACTCGGCCCTGTGGGAGTCACTGTGCCACTGCCCCTCTCTGAGCCGGACAGGTCGAGCGAAATGAGACTCGACCCCCACCTTGTTGTGGGCACCGTGGTCATGTCCGCCTCCGCCTCCTCCTCGGAGATCATGCCGATATCGCGAGACGTCGTAGCGCCAAACGCATCGCGACACAGCTCCTTGAAGGAACGCGTTCGCGATCGCAGTCCATCTGCGCCGCTCACCGCACTCGTGCCCGCGATCGGCAGTGCGCCCGTCGAAAGCGCCACACTCGAGCCGGAGCGGCGGCGTGAGCGCTTTGCTGCGAGTCTCGAGATGCGCGAGCGTGCATCGCCGCCATCGGCAATGGTGGCATAACTGTATCCGATGCCGATGCCGAAGGGAAGTGCGAGGTAGTGCAAGTCGTGAGACGTTTTGCGTTCCGACTCGTCGTCGTCCGAGTCGGAGCCCATCTCGTTGTGCGGAGTTGTAGCCGACGACGAAGAGGCAGCAGAAGAAGCTGCTGCTGCTGCTGCCGCACTGCTACGACGCGACAAGGTAGGCGGCGTCTTGATCCGCTCTTCTTCCTCGTCGAAGGATGGGGCGGATAGCGAGCTGCCATGCAATGAAGTGTAGCTGCCATCACTGCGATGCAGCGTTCGCGTCGAGCGACCCTCGCCCGACCTTCTTCTGAGCGGAGAGCGCGGCTGGATCGCAGCCTGTAGCCGCCTCCACATGTGCTGAGCGGCGAGGGTGAGGATGCCGACGCCGATGATGCAGACAAACACGAGGATGATGAGCAATCTCGAGTTCGAGTTGGGCACCAGAGGCGGGCGGCTCACGGGCGAATCGCGCCGCGAAAACAGGTTGACTAGCGCTGCGCCGGCGTTGGAGATGGTCAGATCGGGTTCGGGATGACGGCTGAAGACGTAGCCGTTGCCCGTCTGCTTGCCGACAAGGTCTTGGTTGTAAGCGACGCGCGAACGGCCGGATGCAGGCTTTTGTGCCTGGTTCTGTCGAGATGGCGGCGCTACCAGCAGACGAGAGTCGCGCACAAAAGAGTCGGCATCCGACGAGTCTGGTTGGTGCATCGCCGCGTCCAAGTCGTTCGTGGGCGCATCCTGGTAGTGGAGTGCAGCCGGAGACTTTGGGTTTAGCTTGTCGAGCGTCAGGACACGCGACCGGGAGCGGTCGAGACCGGATGTGCCCTGTAGCTGATCCAGATCCTGGAAGGTGACATGCTTGCGACGGTTGAGAGGGTCGGGATTGGACTGCTCTGATGATGCGGACAGGCGCTTGTCCTGATGGAAAGGAGTCGTATCGCTGGCCGCTGACAGCTCGTTATCGAGTCCGTGTTTACTTGTTGATCTGAGGGGTAATGAGCCCGTATTTGCTACGACGTAGGATGCGCCGAGCGAGAGGGCGATCAGTGCTGTTGCAGTGAAGCGTATCGGTGACGATCTTGGCTGACGCCGCCGCCGCCGACGATCTGTCAAAGGCATGGTGCTGCGGTCGGAAGCACGCTGATGCGATGCTGGATGGCAGCCACTGCTGTTGGTGGAAGCTGCTACCAGTGTTAGGTGGCTTTGCATCGCGGACTGCGACGGACGTCTACAAGCGTGATGCACTCATGGCAGCCGAGCGATGTGGTTGAAGGGATGCTTTCAAAGGGGATGCTGGTTCTGTGAGAGCAAGGCTGGACGTTATGCTGCTTGGAAGTGCCGGTGATGCTTTTGGAATGCTCGGATGCACTCGAAATATTTGCGCTGCTAGTCGGTCGAAAGGAGGGACAATTTCAGACGAGAACGATGGAGTTGCAGAGAAGAATGCAGTTGCAATCGAAGGATGTGCTGATGTGGATCGAATGGACCAAAACGTGCCGAGGTTGGATGGAACGATCGAGTCGTGCTTGTCTAGCACGAAAGGCGATAGGGGACCGTTGCACTCGTCTTTTTGTCGTCGTCGTCGTCGTCGTCGTCGTCGTCGTTGATGCGGGCGGACGTGGATGGATGGAAAGGGATGGGATGGTGGTGGGTTGACGACGACCAAAGGTTGCTCCGAGTGGATGATGATGACTCTCGAAAAAAATGTCGATGTGGATCGCGACTCGCCTTTTGCCGTCGCAGTCACAGTGGCAGTCAGTTGAGCCAGCGACGCTTCCGATTGCGCTTGCGCTTGATCCCTGAGTGAGCGAGCAAGCGTGCGTGCGTGCGTGCGTGCGGACCTCGAATCCGGCTCTGCCTCGAGTGGAGTGGGCGAGAGCAGAGAAAGAGAGAGAGAGAGAGAGAGACGCGACAGATGCATTTTCTATTTCTTTTTCCTTTTTTTGGACGATTTTTCTCAAAAGCAATCAATGTCCTCGGAAAAGCGTCAACAGGGTCAATCCACCACCAACTTGAACTCTACCGCGCAAACACACCCACCGCTCTCTCTCTCTCTCCCTCTTGACCAGATGCAAGCGAACCACTCCAGGTCATGTTCTGCCGAAGACGATGATGACTGATGGCTCTCCTAGCCCTGACCCTAGATCAGACCCTAAAGCACCCAGCAACAAAGCTCAATGGGCAAGTCTGGGTCAAACATCAAGTTGGAGAGAAAAAAAAGAAAAATCCCGGCTGCCACCAAAAAGCAATTGCGGTCTGGAGGAATCGAACATCCGTTTGCTCGGCCCAGATTTCACAGCAGATCGCCAATCCGACGCTCCCGATCATCCACAACGAGCCGTACTAGACCACTATACTAAGACCGCATTAAGATACAACATTCGACCAGCAGCAGCATCCAGGAAGGCACGGAGAAGAATGGTTTTTTTTTCAAAAGAATTTTCTCAAATTTTCTTTTCCTCAATTTTGAAAAATGAAAAATACCTGTTTACACCTATATCCACAAAGTACAGCTCGTTGTGGCTGGAGGGTCGCGTCGCAATCAATTCGCTCAAAGTCGCATCTGGCGACATGCGAGACTCAGAGCCTCTGTCCAGGAATGAGGTGGCATGAAGGGCAAAGCTTCGTCATTGCCATCACGGCTTCGTCCCTAGTGATGCGGGAGCTTGTACATGCGAAGTATACAGGGACAACGGACGGAACGGCCTCGGGGCACCCATCTCGGACGCTCTCGGCAACTCCCTGCGATAGAGAGAAGCAAAGGTGTCCTGTCGTAGCGAAGCGAGCGCAGGAGCATCGTGCTTGGGCAGGCCGAGATGGACGATGGGCGGGAGGCGCTGTCGGCCAAGGTATCCGACATGGCTGGTGGAAGCCGATGCTGGCCAGTGAGAGTGGCTGGCAAGAGGGAGAGGAGGCAGTGGCGGCGGCGAGGTGAGATCGTCTGAACCCTCGGAAGACACTTCCGAGCCCTCGTGCTCTTCGTCTCTGCAACACGAGTGGCGCGTGCGGCAGAACGATGAGTTGCAGGAGCTTGCATCAGATGAAGAAGAGCTGCAAGGTAGAGCAGAACGACTCGGTTCCTGCAAAGGGGACAGCTTGCTCTCGCTGACAGCGTGGTCGCAGACACCATCGTCCTCGAGCGGTGTCGAGCAAGGCTCACGACGACATGCTTCGTCGTTGACAAGGTCACAGTGCTTGTGGCGGCAAGTGTCGTGGCGAATAGAAGCTTCGCGAACATCGTCGCTGCCCCAGTGCAGCCGTCGCTTGGTCGGCCTCTCCTTCTCGTCTCCAACCGCGCCGTCCAGATCCGACGAGGTAGGCGGTGTCAACGACAAAGTGGGCTTCTCTTCGATTTGATCTCGCGGAGGACTCGCTTCCGACGAATCGTAGCTGTGAGCGCTGCGGTAGTGCTCGTCGAGCTCAACATCGCTGCTGATCGAAGCACGACGACCAGCCTGACAGTCGCACAGGGCTCGCAACGCCTTGTTCTCCTCTTGCAGCTTGACGACAAAGTCGAGCGTATGGCTGAAGATGCACAGCTTCTCCAGCACCATGTTGTTGCGGATCTTTTCGCTCATCTCGCTCTTGGCCTTGTCGAGCTTCTCTTCATCTCGTTTGCGCTTTGCATCGCGCTTGGTGGCGGTACCCTGGCGCGCCTCGTTGTCGTCGTTGGGGCGGAGGGGCGTCGCAAACTTGCGCTCAAAGAGGTCTTGACACTCCTTTCGACAGGCGGGGACGATGTTCTGCAAGGCGACGAGCTTTTCGTTGATCTTTTTCCTTCTGCGTCGCTCGATGATCGAGTGGTCCGTCTTGCGCCTCAGTACGCGTGATTTGCGACGGGTGCCGTCCTTGTTGAGGAGCGGTTCGCCTCCGTCGACGTGTTCTGTTGCGTCCGAATGGTTTGAGCTGCCAGCTGCGCTCTTCCTCTTTGGTGACGCCATCCTGCAATATGGCCAACGCGATGGGTGGGTAGATCGAGATGTCACGCGTGGTAGAAAGATGGTGGTGGGGCCATTCAAGGAAACGGACGACACACACAATAGTTCGGGACCCTCGTCTATAAAGACGTCTCCTTTCAGTCGAGCAGAGCACCCTGTGTGACCCCGCACAGGGTGGCGGCGGACAAGCAGAGACCGGCGGAGGCAAGAACGAGGGAGAGCAGAACAGCGGTCAACGAGGGGGAGGCGTGTACCGCTCCAGTCACAAGTGCTCATTCACACACGACATCTGTGCGGTCGTTGATGTATTCTAAGCGACCGCTTCGAGAAGAGGCAGGAGGGCTCCAGCTCACAGCATCAATGAGTCGTGATCAGCGTCGGAGCACGCTATCAGAGCGCTGTCAGCAACCGGCGCAGTTCTGCCATCTGCTGCTTGCAGCTGCTGCTGGTGTCGTCTTATCGCAGGGATGGCGAGGACCTTCTCGGTCATGGCATCATCGGTTTGACAGCTCAATTTTATCTGTGCTGTTAGGCCGAGAAAAGTGTTTGGGGCATCCAAAAAAGGATCAGGGTCCGAGATCCGAGTCTTCGACTTTCTTCTCATGGTTTGGCAAGAAGAACAAGAAGAAACGTTTTGAACATGCCGAAGCTGCTGCTCTCGTGCGACCACCACGACCAACAACCCTAAACACGCCATCGTAGCAGAATTGAGCCGCAGACAGCACATTGAGCTGATGAGGGGCGTTCGTCTTCAACCGCTTCGGGGCTCCTCGGCGTCTTGGCCGTCCAAGGCTGCTTGGACTCCGACAAGGAGCGTGCACAGAGCTACGTCTCGATCAATACAGCACCACAGCACACGACGGCTGCCCGACCCGCGCTACACTGCGTCCTCTTCTGCAGCATCGAGCTCGACGTCATGGCGTGCGGCGACGTCCACAGCCTCATCACAAGCTCGTCGGTATGCTTCCAAAGCTGCCGAGGCCCCCCAAGGCAAAGCGGCCGAGTCCTCGCTGGAAATCGACCGCGACCCAGTCGTCCGACTAGCACGACTCCAAATGGAAAAGCGACAACGTCTGCTAGAATCCGCCGATAGCGCCGACAGTGCCGAGGTCGGCAAGCAGCTCAAGGAGCTCGATCCGCTTCGACAAGCATGGGAGCTTTTCTCGAGCAAGCGCAAGCAGCTCATCAGCACCATCTCCATGGGCCAGACGGATCCAGACGAGGACATGCGTGCACTCGCATCCGAAGAGATCCCACTGTTGGAGGAGGAGCTGTCGAGCCTGCGAGCGGATATGGAGAAAATGGTCTTGGAATCCGTCACGGATGCGATCGAGGCGACGGCGGTGGGCGCAGTGCTGGAAGTGCGTCCCGGCGTCGGAGGCCAAGAGTCGACGCTCTTCACTGCCGAAGTGGCGCGCATGTACGAGCGATTCTGCGAGCAGAAGCCTGTCGACGACGACGGCTCTGGCGAATGGTCGGTGGAGATGCTGTCGAGCACCAGCGTCGACGTCTCCACATCCTCGTCCGGATCCGGCTCGGGGCTCAAAGAAGCCATCATCGAAGTCAAGGGCAAAGGCGCCTTCCAGAAGCTCAAGTTCGAAGCAGGAGTGCATCGCGTGCAGCGAATCCCTGCAACACAGAGTCTGGGCAAGCTGCAAACCTCGACGATCGCCGTGATGGTGCTGCCCATCTCGGAAGGCTCAGAGAGCAAGGCAGACGACCTGGTCGATCCCAAAGACGTCAAGGTCGAGGTGATGCGATCGCGAGGCGCGGGCGGACAGCACGTCAACAAGACCGAATCGGCCATCCGACTGACGCACGAGCCGACGGGCATCTCGGTCTCGATGCAGGACAGCCGCTCGCAGCACCAGAACCGCACCAAAGCGTGGGCAGTGCTGCGCGCTAGGCTGCTCGACCGCAGACTCAAGCAGGAGGTGGAGGGCAACCGAGAGCGAAGGCTGGCGCAGGTGGCGAGCATGGATCGAAGCGACCGCATTCGCACGTACAACTTCCCGCAGGACCGCGTGACCGATCATCGCATCAACCTCAGCTTGAACGGCATCGATGCGATCATGGAGGGCGAGCACAACGCGGGGACGGGACTCGACTACATCATGGAAAGTCTTCGTATCGAGAGCGACGCGCGCAAGGTGAAAGCGTTGCTGGAGAGCGAGGAGGCCGAAGCCGCTGAAGCAGCATCGCCATCCTCTGGCAAAGGCCGAAAGTGAGAGCAGGCGAGTCGCGAGACGACGCGAAGCACGAGCGCGCAAGCCCTCTTCGGCACGCTGAGTGCCGTGTATATGCTGTATGCTTTGACGAGCGCTCGGTCCTCGTACCAGTCACACACTAAGATCTAGCGGGAGCGTACAAAAACGGTCGACTCGACTCGAACTGCATTCAAAAGCACTCTTTTCCCACACCAGGAACGTACATGCTGCATGTCGCATACACGCTGCTCACGACGCGCTCGGTGGGAAGGTGGCAACTTGACCCACAGTCGGACAATGTGTTTCGGCAGCCGCTGAGAGGCCAACTCCTCAGTGTTGATGGCGTCAGTAGTGGTATCCTCAGACGCACCGAGATGAAGCGGGTCTAGACGACGGTGCATGGGTTTCACAAGTTCCCCTTTGTTGTCGTTGTTTGCTCTGCTTCATTCTTTGTCCGCCACCGCCACCTCCTTTCTCGCACATCGCCCTCACGCTCAACCATCTGTGCACTTGCCACCTCATCCACCGCTACACTTTCCAACCAGCACCCAACGATGGAAGACGCCTTCGCGCAGATGTGCTCCGTCTCTTCGAGCGCCGACCAGCCCACACCCAAAAGCATTGCGAGCGAAGCACGGACGCTGCGACGCCGCCGGTCGGCCGCGTCTGCCGCGCTGCTGTCGCGGCCGTCGATGCTGACACTGGGCGAGCTGGTGCCGTCGTTCGAGACGTGTGTGCTGGTCTACATCTCCACGCCTCCTGCCAGCGACACCGCCACGGCGCGGCTGGTGTACGCGCTGTTCGAGCCGAACTTCCTCGTCGACGGTACGCGCGCGCACATCCGCAAGCTCGACCGCGCTGCGTGGGAACGGCTGCGCTCGCACGTCGAGGAGCTGCGCATCGTCGCGCTCTCGTCGCACGACACACCCGCCTCGCAACCCGCCACCCCCACCACCGCTACCGCTGCCGCTAGCGCAGCCCACCGCAAGCCAGACTGCGTGTTCGACCTGGCCACGCCCACCGACAACGCCGCACACCGCACGCTCTCGCTGTACCTCCAGCCACAGTCGTACACGTCCGTGCCGGCAAGGAGCAAGGCAGAGCTGCTCGAGATCCAAATCCACACCCCGCGCGACGACGAGGCGGCGAGACAGCGCAGAGTGTGCCTGCCCGCCCAGCTGCGCACAGTGCTCAACGATGCAGAGGAGATGCGCGACGAGA